AGATAAAAACAGTACTTTACACTGTAGCTAGCCAGATAAAAACAGTACTTTACACTGTAGCTAGCCAGATAAAAACAGTACTATACACTGTAGTTAGCTAGATACAAACAGTACTATACACTTTAGCTAGCCAGATAAAAACAGTACTATACACTGTAGTTAGCTAGATAAAAACAGTACTATACACTGTAGCCAGCTAGATAAAAACAGATAACTCTATTTTACCAATACAACTGGAAAATGTCAATTTGTAAGTTTCCTTCATTTAAATAGAACAAAACATGTATTTAATCGTTCACGTTTTGATTTATTCAGGAATAAATGTCTCTGACATCTAAGTCGATGCAAGTATTGTTTATACAGTATGTAGCTGTGATTTGCGGCGATATTTATTGATGATATATTGATATTGTGATTTTCATGTTATAAGTTCGTTAATGTTAAAATCGTACGATGGAACTTTTCATCGCAGTATCAGTTTTGTTGTTGTTTTTTGTATGTTGAACGTCGCACATTTTCTTGAATTTTACCTGGCATAGTTTACAAGAAATTTCAGTTAAGGAAATCGCTGTAAATTTGTAATGCTGTCGAGCGTTCTCGGTACCAATTCTTTTTCCCTGTATATCCGTTCCTTGTGATCAGGTTGTTAGTAAAGATCGTGGTAAGTGGGTGCAGTATCGGTGACTTTAGTACCATTAGTTGTTCAGGAAGATGTATATTTGGTAAATATTTTTCTTGCTATTTGAACGCTTAGAATGAAACTAAATCACTGTTGTAAATTAAGCCTAAATTCAGCCTTACATAAATACAAAAACAAGACTAGTAGAGTTTATGATTTGAAAAAGCCTATCAGAATGAATCAACAACCCAGACATAGACAAGTAAGCCAATCCTTCAAGTGAAGATAATACACAGACTGTGATCAGAGTGCATTGCATGAACGATAGGTGAAAGTAGGCCATACTCCTGATAAGCAGATGCTATTTTCTACTTGTCCATACAGACTGCACAGTCAATATCTATTTTTATTGACCCAGCATCCCGTACGGGTGTGTGTTTAGTTAATATCATTGAAATATTCAACGTGCTAACTTGATGGTTGAACTCCGTACTTGATATGCAGATAAAGCATTATCTGTATCTAATATTTACATATCTTGTGCAATAACACTTATACTGTACATTTAGTGGTGTGATACTTTTCCAAACATCTAATAGATAATCAGGAGTACGTATATAATAAAGGACGGTGAGTGTATAAGACCCTTTATTTTCTAAGAAATGTAATGTTATCGTCCTGCAGAACCCCGAGTACATAGGATACTGTTATACGAACTCTTCTTTAGATTGCTATGAGCCTCGGGGACCTTGGTATGTTTAAAGATGCTCTGTGAGGAGAGACAAAGTATCAGGAGAAATTTTTAAACTTTCTGAAGTTTGTCTTACGTAATGCCAAAACGTTTGTTCTAGGCATACGCGGGCCACTAAATAAATTCACTTGTGTCATGAATCACATGGATGATGTTTATATTTGTTCTTTCTTATAGCATCCATTGAAGAAACTCCCTTAGCAGAAACGCGCTTTCGCAATCGCGTTATCCATGACATACACGCTGTGCGGTAGTCTCCCTTGGTATACTGGCAAGACACTAGGAGATTGCACTCATAGAAGCATACCCTGTCGCAGAGATAATTTTCTTTGTTAATGAAATAGGATGACGTCAAAGGGACTAAGATCTTGTGAATATGGTTGGTAGTCAATTTACACTAACTTCTCATGCTTCACAAACATCTGTACAATATTGCTATTGTGGGATGAAATATTGTCGTAAATTAGCTGGGTGCCATTCAACCTTTTTCATGTAACATTATTGACCAGTTTCAGCACCTCGTCTCTGAGCTACTACTTTCTATGCACGGTATGAGAAGCACATGCCCATTAAATTGAAAAAATGGCATACAATTCCCATTGCCTGTAAGTAATTCAGGGAGCTTTCTTGAGATACAATAACCGTACTTTTTAATATATTCTAAGCACATTTCAAAGGGTTGGCCTTGTTTTCAGATGTCAGCGACTGAGGAATCCATCTATGTTAATTTCAAGCACTTTAAGAGAATATGATGGCTTCCGAAATGCCAACCTTATTAGCTATCTTAAAAACAGTATAAATACCATCGTCCTTAATTATTTTTTCACGGCAGCAATTATCTTCTCTGATGCTGCAACAACTCGCCTGCCTGGCCGTGTGTCGTCTTTGATGTCATTCTTGAATTTAATCACTCACATGAGAACAGTTCTCAATATGAGCCTTTTAGGCACAACTCTGCATGTATCAGTTTGGCGTATCTCAAAGCATACCGTGCTTTTATATACGAGCGTTTTTCAGATTTAGTCTCATTCTTCATTCTAGTATTGACAAGTAGTAGTTCTGTATCATGTTTTGTTGAGTAAACAATAAGAAGAACATCGTATGACTATCTAAGCTCCATCCTAACGTTTAAATGACAAAACGCAGAATAGAAACAATTATATGCCAATACATAAATGTTCAATTAACAACTGTTCGAAAAGGTATCAACAGAATGTGATTCATTGGTGTAGGGGAGGTAACTCATGTATTCCAATGTACACTTCAGTAAAATTATACGATTATAGAGGATCATTTTAGTATTGAGGTTATTTAGTGCTCTGTCCTTCTACAGTGGACAACGTATACTCAGTGTAGAGGTTATTTGGTGCTCAGTCCTTCTACAGAGGACAACGTATACGCAGTGTAGAGGTTATTTGGTGCTCAGTCCTTCTACAGAGGACAACGTATACGCAGTGTAGAGGTTATTTGGTGCTCAGTCCTTCTACAGAGGACAACGTATACGCAGTGTAGAGGTTATCTGGTGCTCAGTGCTTCCAACGAATACTATACCGTCAGGATGAAAGTTCATGTTTTTAAAACTTTTGTTCACAACACAAAGACTTCATACCTAGATATTCCGGCCACTAATAGTGGCCTTCCTCATTAGGATTGAGATTATCTACTACATTGCAACATTTGGGACTGTTTCTCCCTTATCTGTCCTTTTGTGAGGCGGTGTCACTTAAGGTATCCATAATCGTAACACCTCGACTATTGCGAGATATGTAAAGAATCTAATGAACTTATCGATTATCTTATTAACTTTAGCATATAATAAAATGTCAGACCAAGTGCCATCTTCCAAAATTTGTCACACCAAGATGTTGTTGGCTTTGTTGTTATCACTACTGATAATTATTGTTTTTAGATTTACACGGTGGGTGTCATCAATACAGCAGTAGACGCTTAAGCCCCTATCTCACATACACGATTTAAGGAATTTCGAACACGATTTAAGAAAAGTTGAAATATCGTGTTGACTCGTGCTCGACTTTGTGGTTTATGCAAATTTCTTAACCAAACACGACCCTCATACGACCCTCATACGACCTTCATACGACTGAACACGACACACATACGACCGTCATAAGATATTCATACGATACAGCAACACGATCTAACGTCATTTAAAACGACCCCAATACGACTGTCATACGACCAAACACGACGCCCATACGACGCCCATACGACTTAACACCAATCAACACGACCGCCATACGATTCAACACGAATCATTACGATCTCCGTACGACTGAGCAAGACCTTCATATGACATAATTTTGTTTATTTTGGTCACGTTGGTCATGTAGTATTGCATTGCAACAGCATTTCTGTGTCAGTCTTCACCATGTTCAACAACGAACAAGACCCGCAAGAAGCAGCTTTGGAGAAGGAGGAAGTACTTCTGGTAGCTATGACTTTGATGGTGCGGGTTAGGAGTCAGTGTAGGCGTCGCAGAGTGAGTAACAGGAAGAGATTCTGGGTTCAACCATGGTTGTTTAGGTGACCTCTTTATGGACAGTATGAACACCTAATGCAAGAACTGCATCGTGAAGATGTGAATACATTTACCAACTTCTTGCGTGTCGATGTTCATGGAGCTAGTAGAACGCGTTGGTCCTCGTATTAAAAAAAGAGGACACCTTCCGGATTAAAGCCCTAGAGCCTGGGCTTCGCCTAACTATAACACGACGTAATATGGCCACTCCTACTGATCACTTCAATGTGGTTTTAGAGTGGCTGCTAATACCATCTCTACGATTGTCTACGAAATATGTGAGACTATTGCACAAGAGGCTTGGAAGGAGGTGACTGATGAGTTTTCAACGAGATGGAACTTTCATAACTCTCTTGGTGCAATAGATGGAAAACATGTAGCTATAAAATGTCCACGAAATTCAGGTTCTTTCTATTATTACTATAAGGGTTTCTACTCTATTATACTCCTCGCAATAGATGACGCTGCATACAAGTTTATGTATGTTGGCATTGGGGCAAATGGTAGTTGCTCAGATGGTGGTGTCTTCAAGGACTGCGACATATATCAGGCACTGGACCAAGGCACTGCAGGTCTTCCAGAACCACAACCTCTTCCAAACGATAATCAACCCATGCCATTCGCAATTATAGGAGATGATGCCTTCGCTCTACGTCACTAGGGTTAATGGATGAACTTGATGTTTTTTTTCTTCTTATTTGGTATGCATTTCTTGGTTGATTTGGGTCCGGTTAGCTCAGCGGTACCAGCGGCACCATCATGATCTGGCCCGGTTAGCACAGTGGTAGATTCAGTGGTAGATTGATGTGAAATGTCTTCAGATGGAGATGAAGGTGGAGATGATGGTGATGGAATATTGAATGGACTATACTCCTGCTCAAATGGCTGCTGAGATGGCTGGATATCAGTTACAGTTGTTGTTTTTGTTGTTGGCGATTTTGGAGGTGGTTCAGAGGTTTCAGCTGGGTCATCTTGTCCCTGGATACTGGGTGGATGTTCATCCATGGTTGGTGATGAAGGATGTTTCCATTTGGAAGGTTTTGCTTGGAGGAGCTTCCGTTTCGGCCGCCGGGGTTTGGCATGGCTTCAAAATGGGCTTTCACTTTCAGGGGGTTTCCCACGTTCCAACTAAGTCACGTGATGGGCTCTTCCGGTCGTATGACAAACGTATTGATTTCGTGTACAGACGTATGGTAGTCGTATGATAGGCGTATGAAAGTCGTGTTGAATCGTGTTAAAACGTATGAAGGTCGTATGAGTTTCTTCCCACACTCCCCAACACCACTGAACGCGACTGAACACGATCTCCATACGACTGAACATGATCTTCATACGATTGAACACGACTGTCATAAGACCTTCATACGACTGAACACGACTTTTCCATACGACCGCGCGCGACCGACCACGACTTAACACGAATGAGTGCGCGACCTTCATACGTTCTAACACGATTTAAGGAAAAACGTTATATCGTGTTCATTCGTGTTCAGATTCGTAAATGTGAGACAGGGGCTTTACCCTCTTAGAACACCTGGTCTTATCCTCCTTGTACTTTTACAAGTGACTCCATGTAAATCTGTCATTTGTTCACATTTTGACCTAGTTTTATCAATTTTGAAGTTTGAATGGTAGTTTTGTTGTTATTTCGTTATTCTATTTTTTTTTATATGGAGTACAAAATTAAATGATGAAAATGAATTTTTCTTTCCGTAAAAAGTGTGAATTTTGTTTTAGATCTACTGTATTTAACATCTAAGCTGCCAGCCCAGTTGCTGCTTTTGTCTAGGTTTCGGCTAAGGCAATTTGCGTATTATAGTAGGGTTTCATCTTTGTAGCATATAAATATGCGGAATATCGTAAAGCTTGATGGCACATGAAAGTAGATGTATGACCCTTAGTTAATGATTTCTGTTTACTGTCTTCAAAATAATTTGAGACATGACATGCTTTCCTTTATGTCTCGAGCTTAGGTATTATAACTTTAGTCAAAAACCTGCACCCTTCTTCTTCACAATTTGTTTTGTTTTCATATAATCCAGCATTAAATTTTATCGATGAGTTTAGCAGAACTTAGACAAATACTTGGCCAAATCCTTCAATTTCACATTCAGATACATCGACGATGTGTTGCCTTTGAATAACAAGAATTGTTTGGACCGCATCTCAAGAGATTGAAATTATGGACACCACAGACTATTCTACTTTAACCGCTTTCCTCGATCTTTACTTACAACATGACTTACATGGACAGCTTACTACTGTTTCGACTTCCCGATCGAGAATAGACCCTTTCTTGATAGTAACATCTTTGATTCCCCTTCTTCGGTGTTTACATGACGCAGTTGATCGGGTACGCAAGAGCTTGCTGCAAATTGTATGATTTCCAAAATAGATGTCGACTGCTGACGGACAAAAATACAACACAGGGTTTCCAAAGAAGCAGATTGATAAAGGCAATGGACAAGTTGATGGTCACCATCATAATCCCGCAGGAGAAATGCTCTGTTCAGACGTTAAAGCTCTGGAGAATATGCAATACGTTTTATTTGTTAACTGTCTCCTATAGAAATATAAATCGATACCATCTGTTGAATTTATTTTCTGTTGAAAATCATGTTTGAGCCGAATTGAATATTTGTGGCAAGTTGAAAAAAAGTCACAACGTTACAGAATAAAGATTCATCTGCAGCATAAATGACGAGGCGAGACACTCGTAACATCTGTAATTAGTGCATTCATGAAACGATTTCTATAGTCAAAGCTTGGCTCGACCGGTTTTCACTCTATTTCATCTTGCTAGCGCGACTCCTCATCACTGTATATGCCGTTACAATGTTAACGATCGAATCTTCAATGTACAATGCTTCTCTTTGTATTCTTTTCCCGTCTGTAAGTTACTGTCACAATATACCATCTGGCGTTGGTGACTTTTTTCTTCACAGCTAAAATCCATTGTTGCAATGTTTTTCACGAAATATTTGAGCTCATTTTACGCTTTGGTTACGTTTCATTAATGTTCCATCTCAACGTCGTTGTGTCTGCAATTGTTGTTCATATTAAGTTTTCGGGAAGAAAATTGAACATTAATACGGTGTACTGATGGGTGGTGTTTTGCAGAAATTAACATATGCGAATAAAGAATATTGTAGGCACGTAACATAAACGATATAACAGTTCAATGGCAGAGATAGATTCTGCCTGTAATATTTAATTTTCTATGCTTATACAGCTGAGCAAATTCAATGCATTTTATAATATATTCATTATTTTCTCTAGTATATTATCAAATCAGCTTGCAAACTTAATGTACATGTTTTCCGTTATTTACTATGTGTATATAATTGCAGCTACTTTTTACCCTCTTACCAAGTAAACGGTTTGAATATGATCTTTTTGTTGGACGAATATATTCATATAAGAAATTATTTGAAAATAAAATTAAATGAACTCCTCTTGAAGCGTAGACGACAAGCTTACCTTGGGTTGAGAGTGTAATATAAGCAATATGTTAAACGTTAAAAGTTGCCAATATCCCTGATTTACTATTAAGTATATCTTATCTTACCGTTAATTGTACAGGTAGGGTGAATTCCTTGTTGGAATTCTCGTGGCAACATTTGAGGCACTTTAGTTAAACATTAACTTTTTAGTTTTCCCTCTGAAGTTATAAATACAGTTCTATTTCCTCTGAACAGACGTGATAATTTAATAATGAATGATCTAGGTCATACATCAATGCCATTTAAAAGTTGGGTTTTTCTTGTATTTTTCGAAGTATGACATGTGGAAAAAATATCGGAAATAATGTCTCCACTTTGCCTAACCAGAGGTTACATTAAGCCTAACATATAGCATGTAAGTACGCGGAAGTGACGTCATATTTCTTTAGAGAGAAGATATTAAGTAATATAAAAAGGAACTTTTCAGGCAGAGAACAATACTGCAACAATTCTGTCGTTGGACAGTATTTGTGATGTTATCTAAGAGTTGCTCAAACATGTGGTTACCTTCAGTCGGAGTAACATTAACATGATAATTCGATGTAAACAAAACTTTAAAAGATAAAGAGAGCATGATTACTGCACCTTTAGATTTCAATGTTGATATTATCATTTACGAATAGCAAACGTATGGTAATCAATACATAGATAAGAACGGATACACTGTTAGACCTTAAAATCAAAGCTATAAGTTTTGTGGTCAGTAGTTCGTGTTTCTTTCCCGAAACAATGGCATTGTGTTCAGAGGCCGGTTAAGAACATGAAAAACTAACAGATGCCTTGCAAACTGCTAGCCAGTATCAACAGTAAATGCAATATAGCAAAGATATGCTCAATAAATAAGAAAAAAGCGGCAACAAAACATGTTTTAAAAACAATAGGAAACTATCTAAACGTCACCATGCAAGGTTAATATATATCATAGAGTCAACATTTCGCTGCAGAACAAGCTTCAGGAGAAGAGGACAATACTATGCTGGGTCAACACTCGGTCATAGTTCTAATACTCCAGGAGAAGATGCGGGAACAGGAAAAAGGAAATAGTAATACCGCTAATAATTTATCATTTATATGTTTCTTGCCTGGTCGATAGGGACATATTGATATAAACCTCACAGCGATAGATACACTTATAACGCACCTGAATTAACCAATTCTACCAATCTATTGTTTTAATATGGTATAATCGTGTTGTAGAAACAATAACACATTTGTTTATGTCTTGACAAGTTAAAGTTTTACATTAAAACATTATAAAACATCAATATGTTTGCTTTTTATTTTTATTTATTTTCTTAAACATATATCAGCAAATATGAATTAATAAACTATCCGAAAACAGGGGCTGAACAGGGCATCAGATGATTTTGAGTGCTTACAATTTTGAAATCACACCCATTCTTCAGCATAAAACAGCCGTCAGGAACAGCAAACACTCCAGCCTGGTGGCCAAAACTGAAATTTGTAAAACAATGTTACCATTAAAGTCTCTGCACCGGCAACACATTATGGTGTATTGGAAACATGTGACGCAAAAATGAACATTTGAAACTGTTCAAAAATTTCGTAAAAACAACCTTATTTAAGCATTAACAATTATATCATAATATGTCAAATAAAGACGTTTTTTATTGTTACATTGTTCTAATTCACTGACTTGATTTTTGTTCATCTGAATCAATTTATATTGTAACGATGACGTTGAACACAAACACATTTGATAATTATTAAGGATCCCTGTACCACTAACTAAAATTGTCCATTATAAAAAAATGAAACTACTTTGCGATGCTCAAAACGACAACACTATGATCGGTGTACTTTGTTTTTTACCTGTAAACAGGTAGCTGAAAACGCATATTTGATTTTGTTTCCTTCAAATTATGAAATTAATGTGAGATATAGAATCTTACATTCTTGTCAACGCCATTTTGAGTATATTCAACTCGCCTAAAGGCTTGTGTCATATCAAATTATTTGGTTTATTAAATTCAATATGACATGAACATATAAGCACATGCTACATACCCACAACAGTGTATGCTGTTGTCATGGCCACAACTGCACGGCATGCAATGTTATCTATATTTGAGTGTACACATCATAAAGTGTTATACTAACACACGTTACATACCCACAACAGTGTATGCTGTTGTCATGGCCACAACTACACGGCATGCACTGTTATCTATATTTGAGTGTACACATCATAAAGTGTTATACTAACACACGTTACTTACCCACAACATTGTATGCTGTTGTCATGGCCACAACTGCACGAAATGCACGTGTCCATGTCCCTGTAAGAGTCCCCGGCAGCAATCTGTCGTCCATTATACTCACAGCCTTCGGCTGTTGCTGTGAAACATACAACGAAAGTCAGATTTGAACATTGAGAACACACTTAAAACATATATGGATATAGATGGTACAAAACATATATGGATATAGATGGTACAAAACATATAAGGGTATAGAGGGTACAAAACATATATGGATATAGAGGGTACAAAACATATATGGATATTGATGGTACCAAACATGTATGGATATAGATGGTACAAAACATATATGGGTATAGATGGTACAAAACATATATGGGTATAGAGGGTACAAAACATATATGGATATAGATGGTACAAAACATATATGGATATAGATGGTACAAAACATATATGGATATAGATGGTACAAAACATATATGGATATAGATGGTACAAAACATATATGGATATAGATGGTACAAAACATATATGGATATAGATGGTACAAAACATATATGGATATAGATGGTACAAAACATATATGGATATAGATGGTACAAAACATATATGGATATAGATGGTACAAAACATATATGGATATAGATGGTACAAAACATATATGGATATAGATGGTACAAAACATATATGGATATAGATGGTACAAAACATATATGGATATAGATGGTACAAAACATATATGGATATAGATGGTACAAAACATATATGGATATAGATGGTACAAAACATATATGGATATAGATGGTACAAAACATATATGGATATAGATGGTACAAAACATATATGGATATAGATGGTACAAAACATATATGGATATAGATGGTACAAAACATATATGGATATAGATGGTACAAAACATATATGGATATAGATGGTACAAAACATATATGGATATAGATGGTACAAAACATATATGGATATAGATGGTACAAAACATATATGGATATAGATGGTACAAAACATATATGGATATAGATGGTACAAAACATATATGGATATAGATGGTACAAAACATATATGGATATAGATGGTACAAAACATATATGGATATAGATGGTACAAAACATATATGGATATAGATGGTACAAAACATATATGGATATCGAAGGAAAAAAAGATGAGACTTGTTCATCCAACCACAACTGATTCGATAGGTGCTCTATCTAGACAGGTTTGTGGAACACAGGTTCGAATCTTTCTGTTACAAGGGAGGCACAATATTGCTTGGCAGTCCACAGTTCCCCAACAGTAATGATTTATTCATCTACAGAGCTGTACACCTATCTCAGGCTTAATCGTACTAATGCAAAAACTATCTTCACACAGAATAGGGCAAATGGTTTAACGATTGCAGTCAGAAGTCAAACTAAAGATCAGAATGACTTGCTTTCGGTACAGTGAAATCTGTCATCGCCGGAGATAGGTGCTACCACAATTTGTTCTTCAAGTAGAAGAAAAGATATCCATGGACAAAATCGACATGGAATTGACAAGGTAAAAGATAAAAGCATAGAGTACAGCTACCTACTTCTCATGCACTGTGTTCCGCAATCGAAACTTAAACTTGCATACCAAATCTGGGCATCATCCAAAGTTTATACTTGCATACCAAATATGGTTACCTCAGGTGAAATAGTATAGCAGATATGCCCTGGAAAAACGTTTCTGACGGACGGGCAATCTTTTCATTGGTCTTGCATTCAAGCTACGTTTGTTTAAGGGAACAAGAATGTCTACCCGGAAAAGTGGAGATATACATCACAAGTCTTTAAAGAAAAATCTTTGATTGATCAGATATCTGTAGCACGTAAGCTTACCGTTATGTAGAGACATAAAACATGATGATTCCACCCTTACAGACAGGACACAGACCAGTACAATTATCCAAAGAGCTGACATATTGGACGTATTCGTTGCCCTGCGACCTATTTCAGTATGAAAACGAACGTTAAAAGATAAGCTTTGTTGGTACTACTGAACTATATAGATAAGAATCGTGTCCCCAAGATCACTGACTGATCACACCACACGGTCACTGACTGATCACACCACACGGTCACTGACTGATTACACCACACGGTCACTGACTGATCACACCACACGGTCACTGACTGATCACACCACACGGTCACTGGCTGATTACACCACACGGTCACTGACTGATCACACCACACGGTCACTGAGTGATCACACAACACGCTCACTGACCTATCACACCACACGGCCACTGACTGATCACATCACACGGTCACTGGCTGATCACACCACACGGTCACTGACTGATTACACCACACGGTCACTGACTGATCACACCACACGGTCACTGACTGATCACACCACACGGTCACTGGCTGATTACACCACACGGTCACTGACTGATCACACCACACGGTCACTGAGTGATCACACAACACGCTCACTGACCTATCACACCACACGGCCACTGACTGATCACATCACACGGTCACTGGCTGATCACACCACACGGTCACTGACTGATTACACCACACGGTCACTGACTGATCACACCACATGGTCACTGACTGATCACACCACACGGTCACTGGCTGATTACACCACACGGTCACTGACTGATCACACCACACGGTCACTGACTGATCACACCACACGGTCACTGACTGATCAAACCACACGGTCACTGACTGTTCACACCACACGGTCACTGACTGATTACACCACATGGTCACTGACTGATCACACCACAGTCACTGACTGATCACACCACACGCTCACTGACCTATCACAACACACGGCCACTGACTGAACACACCACACGGTCACTGACTGATCAAACCACACGGTCACTGACTGATTACACCACACGGTCACTGAATGATCACACCACACGGTCACTGGCTGATTACCTCACTGACCTATCACACCACACGGCCACTGACTGATCACACCACACTGTCACTGACTGATCATACCACATGGTCACCGACTGATCACACCACACGGCCACTGACTGATCACACCACACGGCCACTGACTGATCACACCACACGGTCACTGACTGATCACACCACAGGCACTGACTGATCACACCACATGGTCACTGACTGATCACACCACACGGTCAATGACTGATCACACTACACGGCCTCTGACTGATCACACTACACGGTCACTGACTGATCACGACACACGGCCACTGAGTGATCACACCACACGCTCACTGACCTATCACACCACACGGCCACTGACTGATCACCCCACACTGTCACTGACTGATCATACCACATGGTCACTGACTGATCACACCACACGCCCACTGACTGATCACACCACACGGCCACTGACTGATCACATCACACGGTCACTGGCTGATTACACCACACGGTCACTGAGTGATCACACCACACGCTCACTGACTGATTACACCACACGGCCACTGACTGATCACACCACACTGTCACTGACTGATCACACCACATGGTCACCGACTGATCACACCACACGGACACTGACTGATCACACCACACGCTCACTGACTGATTACACACCACATTGTCACTGAGTGCTGATCACACCACAGTCACTGACTGATCACACCACACGCTCACTGACTGATCACACCACATGTTCACTGACTGATTACACCACACGGTCACTGACTGATCACACCACACGGACACTGACTGATCACACCACACGCTCACTGACTGATTACACCACACGGCCACTGACTGATCACACCACACGGACACTGACTGATCACACCACACGCTCACTGACTGATCACACCACACGGCCACTGACTGATTACACCACACTGTCACTGACTGATCATACCACATGGTCACCGACTGATCACACCACACGCCCACTGACTGATCACACCACACGGCCACTGACTGAACACACCACACGGCCACTGAGTGATCACACCACACGCTCACTGACTGATTACACGCCACATTGTCACTGAGTGATCACACCACATGGTCACTGACTGATCACACCGCACGGTCACTGACTGATCACACCACACGGTCACTGGCTGATTACACCACACGGTCACTGAGTGATCACACCACACGCTCACTGACTGATCACACCACATGTTCACTGACTGATTACACCACAGGGTCACTGACTGATCACACCATACGGCCACTGACTGATCACACCACACGGCCACTGAGTGATCACACCACACGCTCACTGACTGATTACACACCACATTGTCACTGACTGATCACAACACATGGTCACTGACTGATCACACCACACGGTCACTGACTGATCACACCACACGGTCACTGACTGATCACATCACACGGTCACTGACTGATCACACCACCCGGTCACTGACTGATTACATCACACGGTCACTGACTGATCACACCACCCGGTCACTGACTGATTACACCACACGGTCACTGACTGATTACACCACACGGCCACTGACTGATCACACCACACGGTCACTGACTGTTTACACCACACGGCCACCGACCTATCACACCACACGGTCACTGACTGATCACATCACACGGTCACTGACTGATTACACCACACGGCCACTGACTGATCACATCATACGGTCACTGGCGGATCACACCACACGGTCACTGACTGATTACCCCACACGGCCACTGACTGATCACATCACACGGTCCCTGGCTGATTACACCACACGGCCACTGACTGATTACACCACACGGCCACTGACTGCTCACACCACACGGTCACTGACTGTTTACACCACACGGCCACCGACTTATCACACCACACGGTCACTGACTGATCACACCACCCGGTCACTGACTGTTTACACCTCACGGCCACCGACCTATCACACCACACGGGCACTGACTGATCACATCACACGGTCACTGGCTGATTACACCACACGGCCACTGACTCATTACCACACCACACGGCCACTGGCTCATCACACCACACGGCCACTGACTGATCACATCACACGGTCACTGACTGATCACACCACACGGTCACTGACTGATCACAACACAGTCACTGACTGATCACACCACACCACAGTCACTGACTGATCACACCACACGCTCACTGACTGATTACACCACATGGTCACTGACTGATTTCACCACACGGTCACTGACTGATCACACCACATGGCCACTGACTGATCACACCACACGCTCACTGACTGATCACACCACACGGTCACTGACTGATTTCACCACAGGGTCACTGACTGTTCACACCACACGGCCACTGACTGATCACACCACACTGCCACTGAGTGATCACACCACACGCTCACTGACCTATCACAACACACGGCCACTGACTGAACACACCACACGGTCACTGACTGATCACATCACACGGTCACTGGCTGATTACACCACCCGGCCACTGACTCATTACCACACCACACGGCCACTGGCTCAGCACACCACACGGCCACTGACTGATCACATCACACGGTCACTGACTGATTACACCACACGGCCACTGACTGATCACATCACGCGGTCACTGGCTGATTACACCACACGGCCACTGACTGATCACATCACGCGGTCACTGGCTGATTACACCACACGGCCACTGACTCATTACCACACCACACGGCCACTGGCTCAGCACACCACACGGCCACTGACTGATCACATCACACGGTCACTGACTGATCACGACACACGGCCACTGAGCGATCACACCACACGCTCACTGACTGATCACCCCACACGGTCACTGACTCATCACATCACACGGTCACTGACTGATCACTGACCTATCACACCACACGGCCACTGACTGAACACACCACACGGTCACTGACTGATCACATCACACGGTCACTGGCTGATTACCCCACCCGGCCACTGATTGATCACACCACACGGCCACTGACTGATCACATCACGCGGTCACTGGCTGATTACACCACACGGCCACTGACTGATCACATCACACGGTCTCTGACTGATTACACCACACGGCCACTGACTGATTACACCACACGGCCACTGAGTGATCACACCACACGCTCACTGACTGATCACACCACATGGTCACTGACTGATTTCACCACAGGGTCACTGACTGATCACACCACACGGCCACTGACTGATCACACCACACGGCCACTGAGTGATCACACCACACGCTCACTGACTGATTACACACCACATTGTCACTGAGTGATCACACCACATGGTCACTGACTGATCACACCACACGGTCACTGACTGATTTCACCACAGGGTCACTGACTGTTCACACCACACGGTCACTGACTGATTTCACCACAGGGTCACTGACTCACAGTCACTGACTGATCACACCACAGTCACTGTCTGATCCCACCACATGGTCACTGACTGATCACGCCACACGGCCACTGACTGATCACACAACACGGTCACTGACTGATCACACCATACGGCCACTGACTGATCACACCACAAGGTCACAGACTGATCACACCACACGGTCAGTGATCACTCCACACGCTCACTGACTGATTACACACCACATGGTCACTGAGTGATCACACCACATGGTCACTGACTGATTACACCACACGGTCACTGACTGATTACATCACACGGTCACTGACTGATCACATCACCCGGTCACTGTCTGATTACACCACACGGTCACTGACTGATCACTCCACACGGTCACTGGCTGATCACACCACATGGTCACTGACTATCACACCACATGGTCACTGACTGATTACACCACACGCTCACTGACCTATACACCACACGGCCACTGACTGATCACGCCACACGGCCACTGACTGATCACACAACACGGTCACTGACTGATCACACCATACGGTCACTGGCTGATCACACCACATGGTCACTGACTATCACACCACATGGTCACTGACTGATCACGCCACACGGCCACTGACTGATCACACTACACGGCCGCTGACTGATCACACCACACGGTCACTGGCTGATTACACCACACGGTCACTGACC